CACCGGTGCCAGGTGTCAGGTCGAGACTGTACTGGTTGCCAGACTTGTCAACACCAGCACCACTTGCCGAAGACTTCTTGACCGGCCGAACTAGCTTCACCTTGGACCCTGACTCCGTGTAGCTCGGAACCCTAGCAAGACGCGATTCAATGTAGGCTCGCGTCACTTGGGGAGCGTAGGTGTCGATCAGGTAGGGCTGGGAGAGGCGCACGTAAGGGATGCTAGCCACTAGGCGTTGCCAGAGCGCGAGCAGGTAATGAAGGCTGTTGGAGTTGCTGAAATCCGGGCTGTCGTTGAGATTCTGTGGTGCGACGACAGAACGAGCTTCAATTTTCTGCAACTCAGCACTTTCAAGCTCTGCTTCTTAGTTCTTAAATGTTTAATGTTTTTACAGATGACTGGTGTGATATTCAAAAGGATACTGAGTTTTGATTAATGACGACTGGATACTCTACCAAAACAACAATGAAGGAGAAGATCTACCGTAAATGGCTGGATCCGCGAGAGCTCACAACAACACTCATCTTAAACTCATGCTATTTTCGACCGATAGAAGTAAGGCGTGCGATACTTAATACTCTCAAAGATAGCAGCCATTTCGCGACGGATGCAGCCGTAAACAACTTCAAAGAAGGAGGAGCAACCACGCCTTTGATGGTTTAGTACTGATTCATCACGCAAGAGCAGTCTACCTCGAACAAGTGAAGTCGAGTTTTAAGCACTTTCGGTAGGGAAAGTAGGCTAGATTTGAACAAGTTAAAATCTCAAAGAGGAAGTTCAAGCCTTAAATGCAAAAAGACCACACAATTATGAGGCAGTAGACTTACGTAGAGACTATGTGTGGTGAGATCTGCGACGAGTTTGATGAACTCAGGGTAGACCGAGACCTGCATGAGCTCACCTACTTGGAAGGTGATTTTCATGCGTGAAAGGAGGCGACAGAATTCATGGTAGACAGTAGGATCGCAGAGGAGACTGTCTCGTCGACGCAGCACCTCCAGACAGCCAACCATCAGAGGGCTGAGGAAGTTTTGTCGCTCGTCATTGGTAAAGAGGGTTCTTCGAATGCTGGTTATCTGAACCAGGCAAGATAG